TGGGAGAGAGAGAGGGGGGGGGGGGAGGAAAAGATAGGTATGATATCAAACCATGGAATATTAGATGTTGAAGAATAGCTTATATACTTTTTTTTTTTTGAGTGGCTCTTTCATGGTATGCTTTTTGGAGTGGTGGATGATGGGTTTGGCGTGGGTTTTTATAACAGGTAAGTAGGTAGTGAGATCCGGGGGAGAGGGGGAATGGCGAGTGAAGGTGTGAGTGTGTGAGTGTGAGTGTGTGAGTGTGAGTGTGTGAGTGTGAGTGTGTGAGTGTGAGTGTGTGAGTGTGAGTGTGTGAGTGTGAGTGAGTGAAAATCGGGAGATGCCGTGGATGGATATATGAGGACTCAAGGAGTCTTGGTGGAGTGGGTTAGTAGGTAAGTTGGGTAAGTAGTATATCTAAAGTTCTTGGGTTGGAACTTGTGGTGTTGTGGCTTTAGAAGAGGGAGTGAATGAAAGCCTGTTTTGGGGGCAGAAGGAGTTGGATAGCTGTACAGTAGCTGTACTCGGTATGTGGATGCTGATTTGATGGATAGGCTTTTTTTTGTCGATTACGAAGTTGGTCTGAGTGTTTATTTTTCCTTCTTTTGTTTTTTCTGTGCAGGGGTTTCTGTATGAACGGAATTGCCTGCTGCTGTAATTACACTGACGGGAGTGTGGAATTCACTTGTACTTCCCGTGAAGAGCAGATTCATCATCTATCCAAGGTTTCTCGAAGGTAACGAGGAGATTCTGCCCCGGGCCAATCATACAGTAACGCGGAAGAAAGGAAGGTGCTGGCAATTCAATTTGCTATCGGAACCCGGACCCTCGCTGACGATCATCACTACGAACCTGCACCTGCACCTGCTGCTCCTTTGCGACGAGAATCTTGGAAAGCAAACAAGGAGCTTCTGCTTCATTTTTTGTCGCTGTTCTGCTTCTGCTTCTTGCCTTTTTCCGAGGTCGATACCCCTAATTAGCAGCGTAAGCATAAAGCCTCAACTGAGTCGCTCTTGCCTGCTCAACTTCCTACCAACCCTGGGATAGCAACGCGTCAACCCCTCCTTCCACCGCCAAACGTCGTCATTGCTGCACGGCGGGAAGAGCTCAACACCCCACCACAACACCCCACATCACCAAGTCCTAACCCCAAACCAAGCTCCCCATAGCTATCGCATACCTTCTCAGCCTCGAAAACATAAAATCAACATACCTTCACCATGCCGGCCATCATCGAAGACAGCAAGCCCGGTCGGATGCTGCTAGTATCCAATCGTCTGCCAATCACAATCAAGCGCTCCGAGGATGGCACCTATGCCTTCTCCATGTCCTCTGGCGGTCTGGTTACTGGTCTGAGTGGACTATCCAAAACAACAACTTTCCAATGGTATGGATGGCCTGGATTGGAGGTCCCAGAGGCTGAGGCTGGTCCTATGGTCAAGAGGTTGAAGGATGAGTATGGGTCGGTGCCCGTGTTTATTGAGGATGACTTGGCAGATAGACATTATAATGGTTTCTCAAGTATGTCATCTTCTCTGTCTACCCTAGACACTTGGATTGGGTTTAGATGCTAATTGTACTTTTACAGACTCTATCCTTTGGCCTCTCTTCCATTATCACCCCGGAGAAATCACCTTTGACGAATCGGCTTGGGAAGCATACAAGGAAGTCAACCGTCTCTTCGCGCGCACCATGGCAAAGGATGTTCAAGATGGGGATCTCATTTGGGTCCATGATTACCATCTGATGCTCCTCCCTCAAATGCTACGAGAGGAAATCGGTGATCGTAAGAAGAATGTTAAGATTGGATTCTTTTTACATACGCCCTTTCCCAGTAGTGAGATTTATAGGATCTTACCGGTTCGAGAGAGTTTGTTGTTGGGTGTTTTGCATTGCGATTTGATTGGTTTTCATACTTATGATTATGCGAGGCATTTTTTGAGTAGTTGTTCGAGGATATTGTAAGTCTCTTTTACAGGGTATCTGAGAATCTTGGACTAAGTTTATCATAGAGGATACTCGACAACTCCCAACGGGGTAGATTTTGCTGGTAAATTCATCACGGTTGCAGCATTCCCCATCGGCATCGACCCTGAGAAATTTGTCGAAGGCCTCCAAAAGAAATCCGTCCAGGACCGAATCGCAGTCCTGGAACGCAAGTTCCAGGGCGTGAAACTAATCGTCGGAGTCGATCGTCTAGATTACATCAAAGGAGTTCCTCAAAAACTACATGCCCTCGAGGTGTTCCTCACTGAGAACCCGGAATGGGTTGGTAAGGTAGTCTTAGTTCAAGTCGCCGTTCCCTCCCGACAGGACGTCGAAGAGTACCAAAATCTTCGAGCGGTAGTCAACGAGTTGGTTGGACGGATCAATGGTAAATTTGGAACCATTGAATTCATGCCCATCCACTTTCTCCACCAGTCCGTCGACTTTGAAGAACTTACAGCTCTTTACGCCGTCTCGGACGCCTGTCTTGTCTCATCCACCCGTGATGGGATGAATCTCGTTTCCTATGAATACATCGCGACTCAACGAGCCCGTCATGGTGTCATGATTCTCTCCGAGTTCACAGGTGCCGCTCAAAGTTTGAACGGTGCACTGATCGTCAATCCATGGAATACCGAAGAGCTAGCAGGTGCCATCCACGATGCGGTTACCATGAGTCCAGAGCAGCGAGAAATCAACTTTAAGAAGTTGGAAAAGTATGTTTTTAAGTATACTAGTGCATGGTGGGGGGAGAGTTTCGTGAGTGAGTTGGTCAGGATTAGTGAGCATGCGGAGAAGAAGCAGAAGAGGATTGGGGGCGCGGTTACAGGGAAGGTAGAAGAGGTTGTAGAGGGGATTAAGGAGTTGGTGGTTGGAGAGAAGGAGGGTGAGGAGGAAGCTTAAAGAGGATGAGGGTTTCAGGGCATAGGGCTTATTCTCTTAGGGGGTGGGAGGCTATGGATGGGATGTGAGTGACGATGACCTCAGGTTGATGAAACAATGGATTTTCGGAGGGCAATCATGGAGATGCGTTAAGATTATGATTTTGAGATGAAGCGATGGTCGGGGCGTTTTTTATACATAGCACGGAGAGGCACACACACACAGAGGGAGAAAGAGAGGAGAGAGAAACTATTACATGTCTTTTTGTATGAAGCATCCGATTGATTCCTTAGAGAAACGAAGTCAAGTTACATACTAGGGGTATCTTTTTCGGGGGGATTTGAGTTTTGCAATCCGAATAATGAATTTGTGAGGGGCCGCCTTGAAGATCATAGTGAATCAGTCAGTTAATCGGAAGGAGTACCAGGGAGTACGAGTAAGAGTAAGCGAAGGTTGTAAACGATTATGTACAAAACGTCGACGACGTCATAACCCCCATGAAGCGAGAAGCGAGTGAATAATTGAGGGGTGAGATGTGATGAAAATTATGGATTCAAAGGGGAAAACACAGCGATCGCTTAGCGAGGAAGTTGTTTGAAGGGGATGCATTATTGTTCCTATTACCTGGCTATGTTTATGCCTATGCTATCCTATGCTCAAGGAAAAAATTGGGTATGAAATGAAGTACATTTGCGATTTTGGTTCATTATGATTTGAAGAAAAAGAAAAGAAAGAACTCCATACTGAGGGGCTATAAACACGTATTTCCGGACCGACTCCCGCTTACTGACTGACCATTGATGCAAATTCAGTTCCTTGTTGTACATCTCCATTACTTCGTTAAAAGAAATCCTGCCATTTTCCTTGCCATTATATCACCGGATATCCCTTCGCTCGTGCTGTGGATCCTCGCTCTCGGTAGACATTTCGCTGCGTGCGTGTAGCTTCCTTGTCTGACTAGAAAGTCGGGACTTTTGATTTAGACGATGGTATCGGATGGGTTTCGAGTATGGCCACCAGCTGGCTTTCTCAACGGACTAGAACCACCTGCATGTTGACCAAATGCACTTCCATCATGCATATCCATCCCGTTTGCATGGTGACCACCTGAAACACCTCCATTGTGGTGTCCACCAAAGTGACCACCTCCAATTCCCCATCCAACCTTGCGTGTGAAAGTAGCATCTTCCAACTCGTATCCTCTGCCTGCAAATGGGACACCTCTGTTCAAAGGAATGTGGTTTGTTCTCCAATCCCAAATAGAAGCGTAAACCATTCTGTAAGCTGAGAATGCCATGCAGGTACCAATGATCGCACCTGCGAGACAATCATACCAGTTGTGGTACTCGTCAATGGTCAAGGCTCCAGCGATGAGTGTAGCGCCGAGAATGGGTGCCCAGAGTGCGACCATTTTCCACATTGCCGGGTGGTAGTTGGACCAGACCTTGAGTTTGGCATTCAAGTACAAGAACAGGAATACGAAACCTGCGAATGCAGCAGTAGAGTGTCCACTTGGGAATGATTCAAGTGAGTCATCGATTTCGCTCTCGTCTCCTGTGCATACGGTGCGGTCGTACATGATTTGTCGTAATCCATTTCCCATCTCCTGCGCTGTGATTTCTGGAACGTTGGGTTTACATACTGCCAGGAAATGAGGACGTAGACCACCAATCAGCCATTTGAGAAAAACCTGGAAGACGGCTGCGGTGATGAGGGAGTAGAAAAGTCCGATTGTAGCGTTGTTGACGTCCCAGAAGGAGCGGATTCTAATCTGACAGATGAGGAAGACGGCGATGGGGACCAGAGCTGCGAGGAGAGCGGCGGCCCAGATGGGTACTATTTCATTGCGCATGGGGTATGCGAATTGTGGATAGACGATCTCACCATCTTGGAAGAAGATGGGAAAAGAGCGGGAGGGTGCTGGGTGGGCGAAGTATACATGGGGATGATGTTAGTATTTTTTTCATTGCTCGTTTGAAGGGAATTTGGAACCTACTCCTAAGCCAATCATACCCATAGCCAACATGGTTGCAAGATCGAGCCATGTTGCTTTCAGCCATTGGCCGAAAGTAGGTTTGGAAGACATGGTCATGACTGCACGAGGGGCTTTCTCGTGATGGGTTGTAGTGGTTGTGGTTGTTGCGGGAGAAACATGATCCCTGGGTTTGCGAGTAAAGATACGCATCTTGATCGTCGTTTGGAGGCTGTCAAAGTATCAAAGTTGGCGAGTGAGGAAGGTAGTACAAGATGTACTTCCAGGTTCTTCAGGAGCTGGTGTTGGATTGAAAGAAAGCTTGAGTTGAGAATGGCGTTCTTGGCCCCTTCTTAAAATACAAATGCCTTGAGAGATGAGGATGGAATAGGTATGATCGCATCGGTCGCTACTTCCTGTTTTGTGCAGTGTTTGTTGTGCTTGTGGCTCGTGGTAACATTACGTCAGTTCGTTAAAAACAGGGAAAATACACCCCCTTGCATTGGAATGATCGCTTCACTGCAGAGCGTATGTTTTCTACCAACCGGAGAGACGTCCGGAATGAAGAGCTTTACATGGAGATAATTAATTAATGCATCAATCTGATTCCATCTAGATTCATTGTGAAAGGTTCATGGCATGTTGTCGCCTAACGCAAACACGTGACAATAGCGTGACGATATATAAAATTTCTAGATGTTTACTCCAGTCATACTCATATGACGAATTAACTCAAAGGAACTTGTTGTTACTCAATTGTGATGATGAAAGGCAGTGAACCCATAAGTGCTCCAAGTGGATAGAGAACGTGGCAGTAAACAACCCACTCATCCAAAGCCTAGTATGCCAGTAAGAGTTTTTAATTGTTCCGAAGTAGGTAATATAATCGAATGGAAAGCTTGGACATTTGTATTAACCATTCAAGAATGATTATGTTAGAAAAGTGTAATTAATTAGGAAGGAATAAATAGTAAGAGAATGTTTACTGCGGGTCCTTTTTTCCGTCCACTGCGAGAGAAAACAAGTAGTGGGGCTTGGGTATGAAAATCAGAATTCGCCATTTTTTTAACCTACCGAAAGGCTTTTGATTCTCTGGAATTTCTAGATCTAAATGCTCATGCTTTTGCAGCATGCTCTTCCCTGCGTACATCGGGTAGAGAATCTTAATACTCAAAAGTAATCTCATGTCTCATAGCCTCCCTTCCATCAATCACGACCCTTTCAGGCGCAGGGTTGTTATCAAGAATCCTAACCATATTCGCCGAGGAATCATCAAGATTCTCCCTTTCAACGAACTTTAAGATCAACTCTGGAGCTCTTCTTGCTGCGATCTCGGGTGCCATGATATGATTCCACTTCGCTCTTATCATATCCGCATACCCGGTATTGTACGGCGGACGACGTTGTGGTTCATGTTCCCCACTGGCAAGTCGACGAACCTAATATCCCAGTTGACTGACCGGTCAATATCCAACCATTCATGACCGCTTGAAGGGCCTTCAACGACATATATCTTTTTGAGATTTGGAAGAGTAGTCACATGATACATCACACTATTTCTGGTCATTCCCAAGATGTAGAGAGGATTGATGGCGATGGTCTTGATCGCGTTCTTATTGCCAGTGTCGTGTATCAATTGGAAGCCATCAAGATTGTGCATATCAGGCAAATATAATATGTCAACGTCAGGACGAATGTAGACAGTCGAGGTTTGGGATCGATATGAAAGACGGACTGGCTTGACATCTCTATATCTTGGATCAATTGATTGACCAAATCTTGTGAGAAGACTGGCTGAAGGGCCTAGATGGAGGAATTGATTGGCTTGGGGAGAAGGTGAAATTCGTGATGTGTCTGTGCAATACAATGCTTCAATGATGCTGGGACCAGGTAATTCCGTGGATGCGGGGTTTGGAGCTGTGGGAGCAGTGGAGACAGTTGGCTCAAGCGGTTGACCTGTTTGACGCATCTTCATATACAAAATTGCATCAGCTCCACGGCAAGCAATAGTAGAGTAATTGAATTGATTGTGGAACTGACATGTTCAAGAAATGCTTGGGCAGCAACTTCGGGATTCTCGACGCCCATCGATCTCAACTGTTCGATTATCAAACCCTCCTGGGTCTCTTGGGATGTGGCGGTAGTTGGTGGCATCTTGAAATGAGAAATCGGTTGTATGTTGTTCTTGCAGAGTTTGAGGGTTGAACTCGAAGGCTTGGGGCCCGAGAAGGGCGGGCCGGTAGAATGTGGGCGGCAGTAGTGGACAAGGATACTTATATACTGGTAAGTACCCTTCTCTTCGTAGTAGAAAACCGAAATTATGGGACCAATTGAATTCGTATGAGCTTCTTCTGCTTGGGCATGTTTTTCGATACTGTATTCACAACAGTAAACAAGCACTGGCTCACCGCCATTAGAACAAGTAACATCAACAAATGTTATTTCCTACATCACTATGATATATATAATACTATCGCAAGAACATTCCTAGGCTTACTACTGTAAATTCTCTCCGATTCATTTGTAAGTTTACTGGCTTTAACGTCAACTGTAAAACTGTATGAAAATGCCCTCCATGAGCAGAACCACGTGCAAATCAGAAAAAAGAAAAGGCAACGAAACAGAGAGAAGAAAAAAAAGGAAAAAAAGAGGGTGCCTGCTCTAGGTAGGAGAACAGAGAGAGTATAAGGGGCTTTTCGCAGTGTAAAGGTGTCAGACTGGGGGGTGGATTCACGAATAGTTCTCAACACCCCTCTTCGCTTATTAGTTACCTCCTCGCAGCAAAAGGAAAAGTATATTAAATGCCCAGAACCTTGAACAGTGGGCAGCCATTGAGATGTGCAGGATGAGTCGATTATTGAGACAGAGTTTACCCTGGTGCCCTGGTGAAATTCTATGAAGCAGACTTTCTCGAGGTTCTCTTTACAATCTTTTTCTAGAAAACTTTAGCGTCGAGCAATTTTGACGACAATAAGACTTACTAACTAGTTTCATGTTGTATATTGGCGTTTGGTGGTTGTAAGAGTAAGGCAGCCAGTGCCTTTTGGCTTAAACTGTACTCTTTCATACCCCAATTTACCTTTGGCATTTCAAATAAGCGACCGACGTCATTCTTTCCCATCTCAGGACAAATCCTTTTCCAGATTCACAACATGACAGCTACACAGTTCAAGTTCATCTTTCACGCACCAGCACATGCAGTTGAGGCATGTAAGAAGGCAATCTTTGCAGCCGGCGCCGGTCGCTATCCCGGTCCTGGAAACTACACGGAGTGTTGTTGGACAACTCCGGGCACTGGCCAATCCAGACCAGGCGACACAGCGAGTCCCCACGTTGGCAAAGTCGGTGCTTTGGAAACGGTACCGGAGATGAAGGTTGAGACGATTTGTATTGGAGAAGAAGTTACTAGAAAAGTTGTTGAAGCTTTGAAGCTGTGAGTTCATGCGGGTCCCACGTGTTGGTGTGAATTCGACTGATGATGTAGTGCCCATCCTTATGAAGAATCTTCATACAGCGTGTGCAGAATGGAGGACTTTCGAGGTTGAGATTGGAACAATTCGTCGACGAGACTAGGAGACATCATCTGGTTAAAAGTTTAGGAATTATGTGGAGAGAATTAATTGGCGATATTTGACGGATATTTCATTGCTCATCTTTCTGTTCCGAATGACTGGTGGAATTCAGTTAGCCGTGAGAAATACGGTCTTTCGAAGTGATATGAGGATCTTTCGGTATCTACTCAGGCCCGTCAGACCAGGAAAGAATTTCTTGGTCTGTTGAACAGAGTTCGGGTAGTTTTGGACCTACTCTCACTGTTTATAAAAGCAAAGTTCAAGGCGGTTTTAATGATAGCCAGTCGTCCCAATCCAGTTTCATGAGGTACTTATCCTGTGAAGCTCGGCGAAATAAAAGTCCGACCCCTGTAAATTCAAAAAACCTCCCGAGTCCACCCCAGAGGGAAATACGACGCCGCATAGATTCTATCGTACTTCTCCAGCCAAAGATCATGCCGCTGAAAATCCCAAAGCAGCTGGCGCTCATCGCCACAAGAGCTTCGGCGCAGCGGCAGATGAATGCTGTCGTGGTGTCCTCGGGTCTTATGAATAAGACGGTAAAGGTGCGCATCGGAGTACAAAAATGGAATAAACATATCCAAAAGGTTTGTCTTGATTCTTGCTCTCGTATGAATTGCTAGCCTCAATTAGATTCTGCAGAAAAAGCATTGGCTTCTGACCCTGCCCCGAGCTTTTTCTCCTCAATCCATCTGCTAGTCAAGCAATAGACAAATGCTAACTCTCTCAGGATTTCAACCACACACAACACCTCCTCGTCCACGACCCCGCTTCCTCCCTTCGAACTGGCGACATAATAAGCATATCCTCCGGCTGGCGCGTAAGCAAGAACGTTCACCATGTCGTACGAAGTATAATAGCACCCTTCGGAGAGCCAATTGAGGGCCGTCCACCAGTACCCACGGAGGAAGAAAGAATAGCAGAGAGGGCACGAAAGAAGAAAGAGAAAGAGGAACGAAAGAGAGCCCGGAACGGGGGAAAGGTCAAAGAACCTGTGCAGAAGCCAGAACCTGTTGTATTGACTGAGGAGGAGAAAATGGCAAGAGCTATCAAGAGGGGGCCTTCAAAGACTTGGCTGAAGATGTGTGAGGATCGTGGAAGACCTTGGATTTATAGGACGGAGAAGGCGCCAGAGAAGGAGATGAATGTTTCATGAGCTTAGTGATCCGGGTCGGAAAAGGTTGGGGGGGGGATATGTACCACCTCTATATGTACAAAAACGGAGTTTGGGGCATGATATTGCTGTATCATATGGTGGAAAAGCATTAGAGGGCTACGCATCACTCGGCACTCGGAGAGATGAGTACTGATGGCCATCTATTCTATACAATTTCGATCATCTTCATCACATCTTGGAAATTCCTGCTATGCGACCGTGTTCACCAAGTGGTGTTCTGGAGACTCTTTTATACATGGTCGTCACTCTCCCCCACCTACCGGCATCAGTACTCGAGCTACATTGGACATCCGATCTGGGCTTGGTGTTTCAATAATATCCTTGGGACTCTGGTAATGATTCTTCTTTTTGCAGTTACGGAGTACCATTGCGAAAAAATCAAACCATTTTCCGAGCCTGACGTAGCTACTTTGCATGGGTAAACAACCCAATTAGCTCATCGCTTTATACACCACAGCATTTTTAAGCCCATTCTCATTCTCACATCAACGCAGCTAAATGATATACAAAACATGACATTCGAGAGGCAGACTTCTCTTTAACCACTGTCGCAAGGTGCACGATTTGCGTCCTATAAAATCTTCCCCGTTAAATCCAACAATGGTTGAAAGCCTTCGGCACCTATGCAAGCAAATTAAGTGCCTTGCAAGTCTCTCTGAATGACACAGGAAACAAGAATCTGGCCTTGGTCGTGGTGTGAAGAGTAGAAGGAGGAAGGCAATGGGCATAAGAAGAAAACCCCATCGTAAATGGTTGTGAAAAACAAGGTCAAGATTCTCCCAGATCGAATGGGATTCCTATGCCTCAATATATGTGGCTTTTGGTCAACAGATTCTTCTGTGTATGCAGTATTCCACATGGCTGTGATACAGGCAGCTGATAATGGAAACAAGATCCGAAGTTTTGAGAATGCCTGATGATATCCAGACCCGGGATGCTAACGAGAATATTCGAACTAGCGATGGGAATCTGTCAAGCATCGAATCATTGGGACCTTTCATTTGCCACTAATCTACCTAGGAGCTTCAATGTTCCCATGAGATATGGATGTGGCCACTCTTGTTGATTGAATTAATTGCCGCAATGCGGTCTCTGAGATTCCGGACGCACCAGACGGCATGTAATTATCACGCCCAGCTCCATTCCATGCTCTAGATCGCTACACTACGGTGCAGTTGTATCCAAACAACCCTTCCACCACTTCTGGTAAGCAAGCTATACATTTATACCAAGTAGGCAACCCAACTTTTCCATTGTGTCAAATTCCATGTCTAAAAATACCATTGAGTAACACTAGGGGGGTATATAAATTAGCTAAGCGAACCTATTGATTCTCAGCCACCGAGATATATTTGCTACAGAACCCTTGCACGCCAATACACAGCCTCCCAGCAAGAGGTGTTCAGGTTCAGCGATGTAGATTTCCCCAGAAAGAAAGAGAGAAATCCTTCCAGAAGGTACAATTCCTTGCCACAACGTAAATTTTTGATGCCTATACGGGTATTCTGACTCCCGACTGACCATCTCATAGCTTGGCAGCCCCTGAACTCCAAGTCATGGGTTTTCCATGCGACGATTATCACAACACTTTTCGAATTCTAGTATAAAACCAACTCTACACGAGGGGGATGGCATTTATGGAGGACTCTGGGAAATATGGTTTGTATCGCAACCTATAACAACACCAAGTCAAACGGTTCTTGCAAAATATCTGATCACCAAAGACCAGATGCCAATCGCCAAACAAGCTTAGGCGATGTTTTCCCTACTCGCAAGTCCCGGTAGATCTCTGGACCGTGCCAAATCCCGCGAAGAAAATCGTCCGATAATACCAGCGAATGGGAGGGGGTGGCGGAGCAGCTTTTCATAGATTTGCCGCCCATGGGCACTCACAAACAGGGAGGCGTTAAGGTATGAAACCTGGTTCTAAACGCGCTTTGTGGTGAGAGGCGAAACGCCCCAAAGCTTAATTGGTCCGCCCCCTCGTACTCGAGTACCTCTGACTGTACTGTAATATAACGCTGTACGCTGTACTACTAGGAGCTTTCTAAAGAAATGTGCGTCTGGAACCACCATCTTTTAGAAAAATAAAAATAAATACAAAAAAATACAAAACCACTACTACGCCATTTCCCCGCATCGTTCCACCAGAGGCTTTCGACGAGGAATAAGGAAATATGGCGAATCTGGCGTTGGCGATGGAGATGGAATCTCCCAAGAATAAGAAAGCCGGCCGGCCGAGAGTTGAGGAGATTGAATATGAATACAAGTCCATTCAGTGGAAGAACTTCTTCACGAAACCGAAATATATACGTGAGGATACTTCTTGGATCTACAGAAGCTTCTGAACTGATTGGCATGTAGCATGGCACATATTAACGATAGTGTTAACCGTTGGCCTTGTATTATTCTCAATGCACCACGATGAGATCGTTGAGGTATGTTACGAGAAGGGAGAGAAGATGTATTCGAATACTGACGAATTCAGAAAATAACGCCCATTGCCGAGAATATTCGTGATATACCTGGTGGTTTTGTGATTCCTGTACTCATTTTGATTGCTATTTCTTTCCCTCCGCTATTTGGCCATGAAGTTGTCGCGTTGGTTTGTGGAATTGTTTGGGGATTGTGGGTTGGATTTGCTATCGTAGCAGCAGGAACTTTCATAGGAGAGAGTATGGAAGTCGTCGCATTGACGTTAGAATATATGCTAACTTGTGATAGTCGGAACTTGGTATGCATTCAAATACGCTTTTAGAAGAAAGGCTGTGAAGCTCGAGAGAACCAATCTGAATTATGGCGCTCTGGCGAGATTAACTAGAGATGGTGGCTTCTGGGTAAGTTGTTTCCTCTCCTACGAAGATTCCAACCGCTAACCTATCACCAGGTCGTGCTCATCATTCGTTTCTCCATTGTCCCATCACATTTCTCCACCGCTGTCTTTTCCACCTGCGACGTCAAATTCTGGCATTTCGCAGTTGCAACATTCCTCACGCTCCCTAAACAAATCATTATCGTTTACTTTGGAACTCTCTTCGTCAAACAGGAACCTAAAAACAGCCTCGTAAACAGTATCGTATTGGGTATAGCATTCATTGCTACAATTATTGCTGGGGTGTATGTGTATATGAAGATGCGAGACACAAAGAAGCAATTACTCGTTGAACAAGCGGAGAGAATGAGAGCAAAAGAGGATATCAACATAAGTTATGGGATGGATTCGACGATTAATATGAATAGGAGATAATAAAGGATCTAATTGAAGTCATATTTCAACGACTTTTGCTTTTGGAGTGCTTGCCATTTGATTATTGCCTAGGGGAACTCGAGAACAGGGAGTCATGGACTACATTGTTTGTATGATGGGCAGTGGACGTCTAGGCGTTCAGTGTCAAATACCGGTATATAGCGGCCGTTTGGTTTTGGGTTGAGGTATATAAAGTAATTTCAGACGTCACATCTCATTGTGGGCACCGAGAAACTCCCCCACCCTCCTGAGCCGAATTCCAGCCAGTGAAATTTTCACGTTTTGCGCCGCACGTATGGAACCGACTCGGGTACGGCCTACGATGAAATAAAAAAATAAAAAAACAGAAACTCACATTCTACTAACGATGGTGACGCTTCTGCCCGTGTGCTGTTAGGGAACTTCCACAGACAAAAAGATAATCAACTGCGATTGAAAGCCAACTGATATTCCCTCTACTGTTCACGGTTCCATCTCTCACCCCAGAACGCAAGTGTAAATACACGCTGCCTGGGCAGACTTACTATTCATAAAACAAGTTAAACAACCCCACGAAGAGAAATGGTAACAAATTGTGGTATCACACGATTCGCTAATGGTATGTGGGAATTCATCATTTCTCTAATTAACTTTGGCTACCTTGGAATATCAATTGAAACAAAGTTGCTTAGCGTACTTTATGAGTAGAAAAACACAAGTTTTGCGATGTGAGTTTTACCTCTTAATTTAAGATTTTGAAGGGGGCCAAAATCCACATTCGCAAGCTCTTGCCGTGACACAGTCTTAGGATTTCTTGTGTAAAGAAATCTAGGGAATTGTCTTGATCTCCCATCACACCACATTGAGGCAACAACGTGCCACTACATTTGTCCACTTATTTTGCCGCAGCACTTCAAACAAGTTCTGCCGTCTGAGTGCCTAAATCTTTCATAAGTGCGCCATGCTGTTGCTAATATCGGTAGAAGAATCCTGGTTTGTCACGCGAACTATTTCTGGTAGTCGGCGCGCGATATGAATCGATTTGATGGTTTCTAGATTCATCGTACCGGTGTTGGTGTCGAGATGGTAATGTGAGGAATGGCCTGCATCCGGTGTATATTGTTTGAGGTCCCTCAGGTTCGCCATGCTGTAGCAAAATCCCGACCACGCCACAATTCGGGGGTAGAACGCTTTGAAAGGGCAGCGGTTTTTGCAATTTTATCAAGAGACCTTAACCATTGGAGTGGGGAAAGTCATTTGCATGGTCAGGTGCAGCTTGAACTACAGTGATTTCGGCAGTTGCATGCTAGCAAGCCTCAACATGGTGGAGTGCTTTCTCCAAGGCTGAATCTACAGCAGAGCTGGAAAAATCTTACGACAGCATGCTGAAGAACGAGCAGATGGCGGGCAATTTCTCTGATAACCATCAATACCTTCCTTATCACAAGTCCTCAGTTGAAGCCTCCACTTGAATATTTCATCTCTCGTTTCGCTTAAATTTACTCGTTTTTCGAAGCCCCAGAATTATTGATGGCTAGAGGATTGCCAGCGGCATCGCTGAATTGCTAGGCTTTACAGCTGAGATTATCGTAACTGGAACTTCGAAGTACTTCCTTGGAGTAAAATCGCTAGATCAGTTATATTAACAAGCGATCGCGCGTGTGGTCGCTAACTTCCTTCTTGGTTTCAATGGGCCAGATGTCAGCTCGACCATCTCTGTCATCTAAAATACGACAAGGACCGACGAAAAGTCCTAGAGACTTTGCTCGAGGATTTGTTCGAAACGTACAAAAGAATCCTCGACAGGTTGGCCGAAGAGCCACTATCTAATCAAGTCGATGGTTGAGACAGTCCTATGTTGGCTGGCATTCGCACATTTGCCCACAAAGGTAAAGGACATCGCTATAGCAATCACTGTGGAATATGAAACAATTGCACTCGATCATGACGAAGTACCAGAGGAGGAAAGCCTACTGTTATGGTGCAGCAGTCGTATTACCAAGGACGAAGCGAAAGGGCTTATATCACTGTCCCACTTCACCGTACGCGAGCTTCTCATGAACAATAGACCCTAGAACACCTAGAAACCCATCGATACTATCTTGATAAGGCGGATTTGAACATATACTAGCGAGAGTATGCCTGACATACATTGGTTTCTCTTCCTTCTCGCATCTGGGTTATGAAAAGTCTCGAATAAATTGGAAGTCAGATGACCTCATGCTTTTCCTTTCTTGTAATACTTAATAGAACATTGGCTTTTCTACGTCCGTTAAAAGAGCCTGAGTCCAAAAGCTCTTGGCCCCATGTAACAATTTCTCCATCCCGACAGGACGCATGGCTTTCTTCTCTGGTTGAGAGAATCTCCCTACTTTGGGTGGCCAGAGCAACTCGAGTTTGCTCCCACTCTATATATTGCTGTGATTATCAGGTTCTCTGGCGTTTGTGCGTGGCCAATTGAGCAAGGCGCTGATGTCAATCATCAAGATGGTGTCGTCGGCTCACCACTCATCTGTGCCCTTGCATCCATGGTCGTACATATTCGAACTGCAATAATGCAACAATCCCAACGTTCGCAGACACCATGGAAACCGTGAGAGTTCTGTTACAAGCTGGCGCAACACCAGATATGACAACACAATTTAGGCACCCACTTAGGGACAGATTAGAAACAAAAACACCCATATGCGAAGCATTGAATAGCTGCTACGGCCCCGATGTGAATAAAGGCATGGAATCTTCCAAGGAACTTGTAGACGTATATCAGATAACTTCGCTTTGAGGTTCTTCTTTTTGATCCCGCTCAGCCTGGGAAACGCAAAGTTCTCTTCCCAGGGAAAGGTTTGGGCTGCATGGGGTAGTAGTCCAGAATAGGGCAAAAAAAAAGAGAGAAAGAAAGCAAGAGAAAATGATATCAATACCTAGAATGAACGACAAAACCTTTAAGCCCCCCAGCGCTGCCGCGTGTGCGTTGGGGGACCCCCTTAGGATAAACCTACCATTTCTGGTAGGTTTTTCAAGGGTTACTTTAATATTTTTTTTTCTCAAGACTCTAGGAGATGTTAGTATCGCAATTATTGTTGGGTAGAGGGAAAACTTACTATGATATTCTTTTGGAGTCAAGCGGCGGCACTTGGGGGGTGGGGGGAACACGGGGGTAACAACCCGTGGTGCAGGCGCTTATGGAGGTACACCACGGGCTGACTGGGCCAGGTGGACAGGTTTAGTCCCAGTTTTGGCCACAGGAAATTGGTTATTTGGAGATATCAACAGTATTTTGCGAGTTTTGTGGGCCGAGGGATAGGCGAGGGACGCTGATTGGTGGGGAATCTTCGGGGGTTTCGGGTGTGGTACTCCGTAAATATCTCACCAAAACAAGGAGCAAGCGTACATGCAGCTTGCTCGCCTAGTCTACGGTAATGATTTTAGCTGTAAAGTTTGCCAACAAGGAGCTGGTCGACATACTTCTGGCCCATGGCCTGGACACAAAAGCCACTCATGATGTTTATATCTGAACCCCTTATCAGGCTTGCTTTGGAAGCTCCAGGTAGCGACTTAGATGAGAAGAAAATGCTCAAAGTTGCTAAAATACTTATAAAGTCTGGAGCTGAAGTTCCTTGAAAAAACCGAGTATTTATCTGACCGCTGCACTGTGTAATTGATGCAAGAAATAAATCCCTTGTACATCTTTTTGGGAGAATATGCCGAAGGGAGGGGTCGATGTCAGCAGTGAACCTTTCGGCACCCCGTTGTACGACGCTGTTTTCAAGGGTTATTTGGAAGTCGGCGAGATTCTACTTGATGCTGGTGCAGACATGAAGTTCAAGTGGGAAGGACAAACTCATCTTGAGGCGGCACAGGAGATGGGACATACGGAAATCGTGAAGTTGCTTATGAAATATCAAAAGAAGGTGGAAGGGATTGAAGAAATGCTTGATGATGAGGCACCAGGACAGCGCTTGACTCCATCCCAGACTGAGAATTGTAGACATCTTTTGTGATTTGTATTCTCGATTGGTTGCTCGGATGTATGATTTCTTTGAATTCGGCCTTATCTTTTCAAAATGACTTGGTAGCGTGATGCGTTGTTCCATAGCTCTCATGTCATTTAGAGCTTTTATGTGGAAATATTTAGGTAAGGAAGAGTACCACTAGTATAAGGCAGGGCAGTTCTGCTTTCAAGAGGCAGATGTATATAGTAACTGTATTAATTTAGAAGATACCCTACCAGTGATGCACTCTTGGGTTAAATGAGAACTGATCTCAGAGAAGGCTTCCAAGTAACAAGTTGCTAGTTTTTATTGAGGGCGAACTTTATAGACGACATACAAGTGTCTAAATGCGGTAGATTTAACAGCGTAGAAATCTTTCCATTGAAAAGAATCTCTTTCTACAATCAATTATTAGAAAGCAATAAAACAATACTCCCACCTCTTTTACTACAGAATTAAGGAAAGACGCATTACTGCTCTTCTAAACCGTCGCAGAAGCAAGAGTTCACAAACTTCTGGTTGAGTAGAGGTTCTGAGTACACAAGCTGTTACTTCTCTAATGATAGGTCCCTTCGCTAAGTAACGACATACATCACTATTCCATTTTAATTCACTAAAGCAACCCAGAAACTCTTTCTCAAGAAGTGCTTTGCACCAATAGTTGTTTTCTTTTGCAAGTTACATAATCACTTTGTGCAAAAGCTGTTGCTATGATCAATCTTGTGGTTTCCATTCACCTAAGAGCTTTGCCCCGCACTATGCTTGTGTGCTAGTGTTCTATGATGTGCGGAGGTAGCTAGGGCTAGAGCATAAATACTCTTCCACAATCTTGCATATAAACTCAAGCAATCAACACCACGAGACATCTCTCTGTTGCTGCATTCAGCATGTCTCACGATAAAGTCTTTGACCCCGACGGAGATGTCACCCTCATTCTCCCTGGGAATCTAGACGAGTATGCTCCTACATACTTGTTACGATAACTCTATAGGCTAACTTATCAAAGATTTGGTATCCCAATTGAGTCCATGGGAGGCAAGTCTCAAAAAAGCAATGTGCGCATGATAGTCTCGTCCAAGCACCTCACTCTCGCCTCTGAGGTTTTTAAGGCCATGCTTTCCTCCAACTTTCAAGAAGGTATCACGCTTCGTTCCGTCGGCTCAGTAACTTTCAACCTCCCAGATGACGAGCCGATTGCATTCGAAATTCTGATGAACATGGTCCATGGAAAGTTCAGATTGGTACCGGCAAAAGTTACTCTGGCGAATGTGACATCTTTGGCCGTATTGGTTGATAAATACCGTCTCCAAGAAGTTGCAGAAGTTATGACAAAGCGATGGCTTGAGCAACACGAGGCGTGGGATGATTTCTGTAAGAAGTCTGAGCTTACCAATGATCACCTTTGCTACATGAAGATATTCTCGGTGTTTGAGAGAGAAGATGCACTCCAAGAAATAATGATGAGGATTGGATTAATTGCTAAAAATGCGGCATTTCAAGACAACTTTGGAAAGGAATTTTATGAGATACTTCCTGTGTCTGTCAAGGCAATCCATTAGTCATTCACCTCTTTTTCCTCTCAGTACTTGCTAAAATTATAAAGAGATGATATGCCGATACAGAGAGGAAATCATATCTCTTTTTATATCTATGATACTGGATTTGATTAATGTATACACGCATGAGCAAGACCCTATCAACCTTGACGATATTTGCCAAGAAAGCCATTGTCGAGCTAGGGCTGTGGAGCTTGTCTTGGAGAATGGTAAGAAAGAAGGCTTTTGGCCGATACCTCTGTCTCCATTTGATGGTTTATCTATAGAATCTTTGTGTAAGAGCGTACTCCATAGAGACTTATTGGAAGGACTGCAGTACATGAAAAAGATATCATGTACTGCAGTCACGGTAGGAGTATGGCTTATATGCCCCGAGTTATCTTTAGGAATATTGATATGAAGAGTATAGAGGCTGAACACTGGAAATGAGAATCAGACGGTGCTAGGTTTGTCAATGGTACTCCATTCTCGTTTCTGCCACGTGACCTACATCTAAAAGTGAGGGTTGAAGCTTTCGCATCTAATTTTCCTGACTTGGTCGGACGAAAGAGCAGGCAGCGGAGGACTTTGAGGAGTTCCTGCCATCTATCCCGCTAGGAGACATACAAGTGTTCTCAGACGGCTCAAAGCAAGAGGCCAAGGACGGAGCAGCTGGCGGTGGCTTTGTAACCTATCAGGGTGGCCAACAGACTAGCTACAAGGCCTTCCCACTAGGCTGCAACGTAGAGGTCTACGACTCTGAGGCTATTGCAGCCCTCCGAGGAGCACAAGCAGCCCTTGCTGCCCCATCCGCAAGGTTCTCAACTAACCTCTGGGTGTTCCTTGACAACCTTGAAGTAGCCAAGCGACTCCTAGGCGACACTATCAGCTCATCACAATGGGCCTTTGACGAATTCAAAGAAGTAGCCCGTCAGTGGCCTCTTCGTACAAAACTAGCACACCTTCCAACCGGGGAACTCAAGGTCCGGTGGGTCCCAGGGCATGTGAATGTGCCTGGCAACGAGGCCGCTGACAGGGCCGCAAAGGAGGGTGCTAGCCTACTAGCCTCTCAGGACAGCATCTGTTCTCTAGCGTCCCTAAAGCGGCTAGCAAAAACAGAGGCGACTAGAGCAACCGCTAAACTCTGGTATACTACAGCCCCGCAACACTACCTTGACCTAATGGTCCCGTACGAAAAGAACAAAGACCTACTCTCAATAAACCGCGGAGCACTTGGACGAATCCTTGCAGCCCGTTCCCAGCACGGAGACTTTGCAGACTACCATACACGGTTCCACCACGAGGACGCTCTCTTAACCTGCTCTTGCGGAAGAAGAAAATCCCCGCTTCACTTCTACTTCTGCCTACTATTAAACTGTAAGAAGCTACACAAAGGACGCCCATCAATCGCAATCCCTTGGCTACTTGGAACTACCCAGGGCTCTATCAAACTAGCAAAGTGGTTTACAGACTCCAAGTTCTACCAAGAAGTGTGTATATCACATACACAAAGCTCTCCTACCTTATAAGGGAGCCCTCAAAAGTCTACTAGTTTCCTTTTACTCTTCTCTTTACTATTCTCTCATTTACTTTATTCCATTATCAGAGGCGGAGGCAGCGGCGAACAGGGGCTAGGATCACAGGCTGGAGGATCATGCTGCAAAGAGGTGGCAGCACTACTGTTTTACTTCCTCAAGCGGACAAAACAACAGCTAAAGCGTACATGTAAACCCCGCTACAGCCTTTAAACTCTTATATAATCTAGCTAGCTAGACAGGAAGCCAGGGGCCTCCCCCCTGGCGTCTTTTGCCCCAACGGGGACTGAAGGGCACGTGACTTGCGTACGTGCCCGCCTAGACGTTAAATAGACACACACACACACACATCTAATTTTCCTGAGGTATGTGACTATGAGATATATTTATCCCAGTCATAATCGTTAGATAAGAACTAACAACTTGAAAGTAACAATAAATGAAAATAGGACAGTGTGAAATATACAATTCACTACGATCGAACTTATCTTATCAAGTGTCAGCATATCACATAGGACTCACTTTGCAAAATTCGCTTACTTGAATTACTCACTGGCACAATATATGCTGAATCACTACGCCATGAAACATCCTTGGAGTGTAAAAATTACGCACAAGCATAACTATATACGAATAACACCAAGCATTACACCACTCTTCAGCTTCCTGTCCACAAAATATTGCTCACCAAATGTTTTAAGATACGAACATACTTCGCAATACCCACATCCACATTCTCCTTCTACGGCCACCTTGAAACTTCTCAAACAAAACCATAACCTCCAATCTTACGCAAACGAGCATCCTCGTCGAAACAACCACGGATATGGATGTCGAAGTTTCGCCATGTCAGGTCGATGAAGGTGGTAACAAAGCTACCACGCCGCCACCCGAATCTGAAGATGCTACCAAAACGCCGAATGCGAACAAGGGCTCTCCGAAAGTACATAATAGTGAGCTGGTGTGTATCGATGTTGATCTAGATGGCTGCTGTGAAGCCACGGGGAACATTTTTTGTTGTTTCTTGGGATGTATCTGCGGTGCTCAAGGCTGAGAATTCTGTTGATGGCAATCTTTTGGTTCTTTGGAAGTGCTGAATGAGCATAGGCGGAAGGGGCCATTATCTACAAATTTTGACCGGAACTCAATAGCTCCCACTTTGAAAAGCAACTCGTCAAGTAAATGCATTGAAGCCTTATCGATCACCTTTGATTCTTATCAACATTTGAATGAGCTGTCTAAACACAAGGGCAAGTTTAAAAACATTTCCCCGTCAGTCCTCGCGAGGAGACACCTCTTTCAGAAAGTTTGTTGTCGTTCTATGACACCATGTATGCCGGATTCGCTTTTTGAGACAACCTAGAAAAGAGAAACAGTGAGGAAATGGTTCACTGCAAATTCTTCTCTTTTCTGCAAGTCATGTAATATTTGCTATCTACTTCTTTAGCCTATCTTGATATGATGTATATCTCCATCACATCCATCAAGCTTTACGTACCTCCAAAGAAGCGGCTTGCCTCCCACCAGCAAGAACGCAGCAATCCCTTCTGACCAGTGCTCGTTTCCATACACGTTCGAGTCAATTCAGAGAAGGAACGACATTAGGACGCTGCGCAGCTAGATTTATGAGAGGCAGGAACAACGTTCTCTCCAGCACCTGGCCTTTCTGGGCGCCTGCTTGAATCTCCACCCATTTCTTTAGATCCTTCCAACTCGCCCACTCCCAGCTTTCACATTTGTCTGGCTCAAGAACCTCAGCTTGATCATTATCGTTCTCTCGAATGCACACCATAAACATCGTGACATAATGCTTGTTGTCTTCTGGCATATAGTCGTTGGTAGCAGTGAGGAATTGAATCCTCGTGGTTTTCAAGCCTGTCTCCTCCAAACACTCCCGAGCGGCGCAGTCCTCAGGGGTCTCGCCAAACTCGAGATGACCACCTGGGAGGGCATAACTTCCGGCACCATGAGAACCGAGACGCTTTCCCACGAGGAAGCGGGGGTTGTCGGTTTGCTCTCCTGATTCGAGGATGAAAAGTCCCACGCCCACTCGTACATTGGGTTTTGCGATCGACATGACTTGAGAAGATCAAGTGGATAATGCTCACTGATGGTGTCCAAAGGTATTAGTGTAAGAAGGAGGTCATGAGTTCATTCGTAGCAAAATCAGAAGATGCCAAGGCGGCCATAATCTTACCCGACCTAAATCCTGGTGAACAGAGAAGCGGCGGTATAGTTACTTATTCAAAACATCCAGGGTGTCTAATCGTAGAGTGCAATTAAATTTACGATGAGAGAAAGGACATATACTGCCAATTTTCTGTTTACGGTACAGTATCAGTATTATACTATGAGTTGTCTGGTCTTCTTTTATCCCCAGCAGAGCCCAGAGTGGATTGATCCAGAGGATTCGGTCAGTGTTTCAATTTAATCCTCATCATAGTCGATTATCTTTCAGATATATCAGTTGAAAATGGAATCTTTCGCTAATATTATCTCTTACTATAGCGGTTCCCAAGGACACGCTCCCTTGACAAAATTCCACGGGGATTTGTTCGAGTTATCAAACGCTCCCGTGAGTTTCTTGGACAGATATATTCGCTTTCCATCGTTGATATTCCACTTAGCAATCTCCTTTTGCTCTGGGGACTTCTCTGCCTCTGTTCTATATGGTTCATCTTCTCGGTCCAGCAGCTCATCCTCTCGGAATATCCGGTCATCATAGTATTCACAACCTGCTAAGTTTATTGGAAGATGGTATATGGTTGTTGTCTTGTCTTCAGGACAAGACAATGTCTTGTGTTACTTGCGATGCTTAGATCAAGAAACCGGAGAGGATAACGGATTTGAAGCCAATGCTTTGAGTTTGGAGGATGAGGGTAGAATTGTGATTGGAGTGCAGTTATCGAGAACCTGCTTGAAAGGATACAAGTAATTAAACTATAGTATAGTTGACTAGGCGCCTCTTAGTGGACAGAGAGCGTGGCAGTGAGTTTTATTCGTACCTCAATGCTCTAGAGCATCAATTAGTTATTGTCATTACTCACTACAGTTAAAACAACTAGAAAATACAGAGAAAGTGACGAGGGGTGGAGCTTTTGAACACACCATTTTGTCTCCGCCCAAAATGCGTATAGAAAAGAGGATTTCATGCAGCAACAATTCCCATGGAAGGACCAATGGTGTCCCCCTTTTGGCGACACTAAAAGATTATGCAGAAACAGGTATACTTGGTAGCTATAAGGCGCTCTAGCAATGATCTATAATTTCAAATCTATAATGCAGGTGGCTTCCGCCGCCTTACACTCTCGCTTTCTGTATCATTCTTGCCAACCAAAGAGAGAGAAGTGTCATCTTCATCTTCTTCGCCTCCAATAACCCAAGTCTTCACAACTTCTTTGACTTCTTTGAGACTTTTGGCGTTCCCTTTAGCCTCTGCAACTCTTCGAATGTAACCCGAGTAGACGACTACTTCTGCAAGACCAACCAACATGCTACCTCCCATGCTCAGCGCCAACCTTGCAGGTGTGCTCCACCAGCGAGCTACAACCCATATAGCACCAGCGCAGGCAACAATACTTATCAACACATTGAATATCAGAGCCATCTGACGATCAACATCCGCGTATGTAACACCATCATCCTCGGGACTTGATGCATGCTGGAAATTTGAGGAAAAGGCATGCGCTGCAGAGGAGGACGGAAATCTCTGGGCAAAGGTTTCCATAGGTGGAGGAGGGTTGATCATTCGCTCATAAGCCCGAAGCTCTTCCTCTCTACGTAGACGTGCCATAAGGGCTTTGTATTCCGATGTCTGGATAGTTGACAATTAACTAGCTGGCCATGGATTTGGGGAATGGTCCCGGCATATATTTTACTTACTGGTTCTGGTTTTGGAGGAGGGGGAGGTATGTAGACTCTCGCCCCTCGCATCAAAAGATCCAAGCTGCATGGTGACATTTTTGATACTTTCATTTGTTTCCATAATTCTATAACTTGGCCATGCGACACTGGGTTTCCAACTTTGGGATTTTCCAACCTAGGTGCCGTGGGTCTCTCACTATTGAGTGCATCTGCGGCCGCTGGCTGGTTGTGCGGGCTAGAGGAGTTTGTTTCTGCCTCTTTGTATTCCTCTTGGGTATTGTCCTCTGCAACTGTTTTGTCTCCAGGTAAAGTAATGCTAGAGCTGTGCTTCATCTCACCGGACGTCTCTTCGTGGTTGTCGCACTTCGTTGCATTGTTGAGGCTCTGGACTTTTTCAAAAGCCTCAACCATGGGCTGTGTCATAGTGAGAAGCACCATCTCAACAGATCTGTATTCATGCCATGAGTTGTTGTTGCAAGATGATGTCTGAATTAGGTTGCAAGATAGAGAGCTTTGGAGGGGATGACGATGGAGCTGTGAAGGTGACACGGCACAACTTCGGACCGCTGCTACAGGGATGCTGCGGGTATGCACAACAATCCATAAGGTCATGATCGAAAAGTCTTGTCGGGTGTCTACGGCTTCAACATACATTTCTGTGTTTCCTTGTGTACGTACCGTACCGTTCCTTTCCTTTCCTCGTACGGCCTCACAACCAATCCACTACGGTTCCTGAAAACTCGAATATCCATAAAAGCTGCCCATCCACCAATTCTGCCAGCGTTGGGTTGGGCCTGGGATATGAGCATCCATTCGCGTAGAGCTTCGGTGCTCTTGTATAAATCCACCAAGTCAACCACCCAACTATATTCCACATGTGCCCAATGCCAATTACATGCACAACGCCCCTCATGGCCCTTGCCAACCTCACTATCCCACCACCAAACTCGAAGGAGGCAATCCTCATGGGCACAAGCCGTGTCAGTGGCCTCGAATGTTTTTTCCAATGCGGCGGCGCAATCAGCTAGCCAAGGTGAAATCACCGTAGATCCCTTGCGGATGGTAGCAAAAGAGATGAAGTTTCTTACCGGCAACATAAGGCAGCTTTTGGGGTCGGGGCATCCATCGTTGGATACTGTGGCAAAATATTATACACAGGGCGAAGGGAAGCATGTGCGGCCAATGATTGTACTGCTGATGTCTCGAGCTACTGCCGTGACACCAAAATCTCCCAGACATAACGGCCAGCAAGTCCCAATAGATATTGACCGTGCGATTTCACCAATGGCTATCCTTTCCGATGTCAACCCTTCTTCGCCAACAAACAACCCTTTAACACACACAGATACCTCATACCCAGCCAGCGAAAGCGATATCCTCCCTTCCCAGAGACGACTAGCCGAAATAACAGAGCTGATTCATACCGCTTCTCTTCTCCACGACGATGTTATTGACCATTCTGTGTCACGCCGCGGACATCCTTCAGCAAATCTTGAATTTGGGAACAAAATGGCAGTATTGGCGGGGGATTTCCTTCTTGGGCGAGCTTCTGTAGCCTTGGCTCGACTTCGTGACCCGGAAGTGACCGAGCTTTTGGCAACGGTTATTGCAAATTTGGTAGAGGGGGAATTTATGCAACTGAAGAATACTGCTCGAGATGAGAAGAACCCAGTTTGGACGGAAGACACCATCACATATTATCTACAAAAGACATACCTCAAGTCAGCAAGTTTGATTTCCAAATCCTGTCGTGCTACGGCACTCCTCGGAGGTTCAGACTCGAAAACGGTCGATGCTGCATATTCGTACGGAAAGAATTTGGGATTAGCATTCCAGTTGGTGGATGATTTGCTCGACTTTACCGTGTCTGAAAAGGAATTAGGGAAACCGGCTGGTGCTGATCTAGAGCTGGGTCTAGCTACCGCCCCACTGTTGTTTGCATGGAAAGACAACAAGGAATTGGGAGCTCTCGTTGGCAGGAAGTTCGGCAACGAGGGTGACGTTGCAAGGGTAAATATCTTCCAATATCCCAGAGTAAACAAAGCTTAACGCTTAACCAGGCTCGAGAACTAGTCCTCCAAAGCAACGGCATCGAACAAACTCGAGCACTCGCAGAAGAATACGCAAATCGGGCAATTGCCTCAATCGAAGCATTTCCAGAAAGTGAAGCAAAAGACGGTTTGATTGAAATGGCAATTAAGACCTTGAAGCGAAGGAGTTAATGTTGGTCGGCTATGCTTTCCATTTGAAAATGGCCTGTAAAACTCCTCTTCCATCGGCTTTAAATGGCCAAAAATGTATAACGAAAACTTCTCCACGGGGAAGAATTTTAGATAGATTAGTGTACAATATTTGATGAGGCCATGATGGTTTTTATGGATCGTTTTAGAGACGGCAGATCAAGAATAGATGGCTGGAAGCCTATGATGGAAATATTTGTTGAGAGTCGCGTAATTTCAGTTCATGTTTGGTTTGTGACTTGGTGGTGAGTTTCTCCATTTCTCCAGCAGTCGGAGGGCAAATCGAAAGCCGCCATTCTTCGAATCTCGACCCCCTTTATAGACTTCCTGAAGACCTTCTGGTTACTAAGCCCTTTGTTTTAAGGTGTTGAGGTTTATAAAGATCCTTTGGTCACGTGCACTGGTCACATGACTCGCATCATTTATATTGCCTCGCCTACGCTCTATCTCGATGTTTTGTTTAGCTAACCCTTTTACTAGTACTCTAGGCCCTTTACGGAGTACTAAAGGGTTAGGGATTTCACTACATTTGTTGTCACGTGATGGTTTGAGTCGCTGGTTCGCCTGGCGAACTGGCGAGGGGATCGCCCGCGCGACGAGCGAGTTGGCGATCTAGCAGAGAACGAAGGTTCTATATAAGACTGGCACATCTGCCATTAGATAGGAGCTTCGTGCTCAACTTAGTTTACACAGTTATCAATACCTTTTGACTTTGACGACTTTGTATAAGTGACGAGTTTGCTTCCAAGCAAACACACAGTGATATATTGTCTTCTCTCTTCGCATACCAACCTTCGAACTCGATACCTTCAGTTAGATACCGGTTTCGTCACATACGCCTTAACGCTATAGATAATTTAAGAAGATTAAGAGAACGAAATCTAATAGATTAGATAAATTAGAGTTTAACTACCTTTCTCTTATATATAATAATACTACTTAGTAGAATTTCTTATACTCTATAATTAAATAAGCGCTTAAACTCTATACTTAAATTAATTAATTCTACTTCCTAAATAGCTATATAAGCTATAGACTAGAAGGGTATAAAAGGAATCCTATAGAGATAGGAAAAGAGTAACTTATCTAATTTTATAGGATATCCTTATAATAGAAGATTAGAATACTCTAACTAAAGTTCTTTTAATTTTAAAGCCTCTATACTCTTTAATAAAACGTGCTAAAGGGATAATAGTTAGTAGTAACTAAGGGACTCTTTCTAACTATCTATAAATACTTAATAAGCTCCTAACTTACTTCTAAGAGTATTATATAACAACCTATAAATTCGTATAGTAAATAAGATACTTTAGGACAAATAGTTAGACTACTTACGGATCTATATAGTTAATAGTTAGATAAAACTCGGCAAGTACTTTACTAAGGTTAATAATATACCTACTCTATATACTATAGTTATTGTAATACTATGCTATAGATAGAAGTACTTCGAGTATACCTAGAAAGACGTAGATTTATAGGAGGATTTAAGTGTCACGAATCACATGCTCACGTGATACTTGTCATAATAAAGAGGCGCAACCCTCGACAGGCACATTCAGGTTTCTTATAGCAAATAGGGATTGCTTAGGCCAGCTAAGCGATCCATGGATTTCATTTGGTTGTTGTCACGTGATGGACCCCGATGGATCCAGGAGGGATCCAAAGGGATCCACGGATCCAGAAGGGATCCAGTAGAACGAAGGTTCTATATAAGACTGGCACTTCTGCCATTAGATAGGAGCTTCGTGCTCAACTTAGTTATCAATCTTATCATATTAGTTTGACATCTTTGATACAAGTAACGAGTTCACTTCCAAGTGAACAACCCGATAGTCTTCTTCTTATCATAGCATACCAACCAGCGAACACCCAGCCAAGTTTAGTTAGCCAGTTTGAGTATTCGTTACATTAAGTACTATATACTAGTAGCTAGTAGATAAAAGGAAAGCGTTATTTAAACTCTAGAAAACCGAGTAACGTTCGGCGTCTAGAACTATATTCTATAGAACTCTATAGACTCTATTCTATCTAGAGTCCTTCTAGAGCGTCTTTAAATAGAATAGACTCCTTCTATCGGGTACCCTCTGGAATTCTAGAGGTTCTACAGAATTCCAGAGCTATTAAAACACGTGATTTAGGGGGGGTATATAGACCTTAGGAGCTAGAGAAATAGGTAAGAGTACTAGTATTAAATATATTTCTTTATAATTAAACTTAGCGTACTCTAGAGGAGTACTATACTATACCTAGCGAGCACGGCTAAAGGGGACTTTTACGTAACCTTCTATTTAACTAGATACCTAGGGAACTTCCTATTAGTCTATAGAGCGGGGGTATATTTATCTAGGTTATATAACAAATTCTAGCTAGAATTCTATAAAACTCTATAGAATACCCCCTCTAGAATAGACTCCTTCTATTAATATACTAAATAGAATAGAGTCCTTCTAGAGGGGGGGTCTAGAATACAATAGAATTCTAGATACCGAACGTTAAGATAATAATATATCTATTCTTTATACTAACTAGGAGGATATAACTAATAAGCTAGAGTATTAGATTAGTTAGCTACCTTAAAGGATTAAAGATAAAATACTTACTAAATTTTAGATCTATTAATTAAAGTCTTTATTAATATAACGTCTAGCTAAGTTAGCTCTAGATATACTTATAATACCTACTATATTAAGTAATTATAAATAAGTATTCTTATAAGCTAAGCTATTAATTATAGGTTAAAGGAATTATCTTTAACCTAATATAATTAAAGTAATATAGTATTTATAAATATAGTTAATATCTAATAGGCAAAGAACTAGTATATAAAAAGGCTAGGGTAATTAGAGTACTCCTAGAGAGCTTTTGTCGGATATATAATATTTAGTTAGATTTTAGATTTATAAATAACTTTATTTTTCTACTTTATTTTAGCCTCTCCTTCCTACTCCTCTCTTAAATCCTACCTCTCCTTATCTACTCCTTTCTAGATAAGTAACCTATTCTCCTCTCCTTCTTCTAGCTAAAGATATAGATCTCCTACTCCTCTCCTAGTATTTAGAAGAGGAGAGGAGGGGAGATTCTAAATACTAATTAGAAGAGATAGAAAGAAAGGAAATATTAAGATAAAAAGATCTTATAAAGAACTTTATATTTATAAATAGTCTTTTATATTTTTTCTATAAGTAATTATACCGAGTTTTAGTATAAAAATAGTAAATAGCTTAGAATTATCGCCTAGTACTATATCTAGCGATAGTTTTAGTTTTATATTTTCCTATTATAAAAGCGCTTATACTAGAGGTTTACGTATTTAGGTTCTCGCTTATTTTTTTAAGAAGGAAAATAAATTGGAGGGGAATACCTAGAATAATATTATAATAAGCTACTTATATATATATATATACTCTTATATACTTAATAATAGCGTAAGAACGACTTAACGTACTTCATAAGGAGTCCGGATTTATAAGCAGTCCGGATTTTTTACCCCACCATCCAACTTTTAAAAACCATAGAACTTTAACCACTTAATATTTATTTATATAAACTATACTATCTTTCTTATTCTCGATCTGGGCACCTAGGAGCAGTATGCGCTAGTGATCTACATGTACTACAGGTTCGTGGTGCACGAATTCGTGGTTCAATTAGCGGGGCCACAGCTTCATCCAAAATCATATTATCACTATTTTGAATAAGTTCCCTCCCTTCCTGACCTGTAAGAACATCCCCAGTAGCAATATATTGACGTCGCACAGTCTTCTTCTTCTTTTGACGTTCAGATTCAGCTCGTAAACGTCGATTTTCCTCTGCCAAAACCGTAGCTGATTGCATAGCCATCTTACACCCTTTAACCAATTGATCTAATGCAATAGCAGTAGGGCTTGAGAGAACGTTTGTACGTCGTTTAATAGATGCTTTGATTGTCTGGGTTTGCTGATCTGCCTCATATGTATTATGGGGTGTCTCAGGGACCCAAGGTAGTAGGTTTGGAGAAAGTAAAGGA